TCTAGTAAATGTACTCAAAGATATGAGATTTTGCTTTAGTACTGGAATGTATATTACATCGATAAGCGTCCTGATAGCCCATTCAACATTCTGATTCTGACTATACCAATTCCAACAATTTTACAAGGCATCTTTTTTTCTATAATCACTGCACCTTTCAAAACTCTTCCATATGTTGTAAACTAGTCCATGTTAGAATACACATAAAAAGCACATGTCGAGTCAACAACCTATTCCTCATAAGGTTTGGAAACCATATCAAAGTTCACAAGAAGAAGTTTTCCTTCACTTTGCCCATCTTCCTCAACATCAGCCTCGGCCATGTTTCCAAGTTGTTTTCCTTTATCAGTAACTCCAACGACCTTGTTTTTATTTTTCAAAGCATAGCAATCAACTCTAATATGCGCCTTCTTCTTATAGTAATGACTCATTTCTCTTTATGTCTGGATTTCAATCTACCCTTCATATTCCAACTAAGATTCCTATCTTAATCCTCTCATGAACAACTAGGCCTTTAGCTTGACGTCAGATCTACTTGCAAGATGCCTCATCTTCTCCTTAGGCCATAACATATCATAGACCTCATTCACAATAAGAGTATCTCGATTATAGAGATTAGTATATCTAAAAATCACATATGATGGTGGCAATGAACATAAAAATATCAATTCTAAGTCCTCCACATCATAATTATCCTCCAATGTCCCCAAATTAGCCATGATTTCTTTGAACAAAGTTAAGTAATCATCTAATAGCTTACCTTCAAACATCAGGTAAGAATACAAGCACTGTTTCAAGCATAACTTGCTAGTCAGTTCTTTATCATACAAAGTTGCTCCAAGGCATTTTTCTTTATTAGAACATCCTAAAGAATTTGATTTGATAGATGTATATGAATTTAAGGTTGGGTTTTTTGATCCATTTGCTGCTTTTCATCCTACATCCAAGTTGAAGACATCTTTTCAAGGCCAAACAAGACTTTCTTCAAATCTATAAGCACAAAAACTGCTCGTATCTTCACTTGTCATAAAGAAAATCTCGTGTTTCGGTCTAATAGCGGAATATCATATTTCATTGTTGCAATGCGGAATAATCAATCTTACCTGATACCACTTATTATGAATTGATCGCAAAATATTAACAATAATAAAATAAACAAAAATGAAGTAAGAACCCCAAAATTTATATGGAAACCTAAGATGGAAAAAAACACGGGCAGACGAGGAAAATTTCAAAATAATCAATAGCAATTGTGTTTACAACAAGATCTCAATACTCTCAATTAAGATTTAAAGTCTCAAGTTATTGTATGAATGTTATGGGAATAATACAAGTCATAACTTATATATATGAACCCTAAAGGCCAAGTTGTAGACAAATAGGAGTATTTGAATTCTTTTTGAAATACGATTTTTTTTTCTTTTTCGTTTTTCATATATAAAAGCTGAAACTACAGGCAAGAGGGTGGAAGTTGTGTGTTTTGTCCTTTCAAGTCTAGTGCAATCAATAACCATAAAAGCCTAGTCAAAACAAATCTAGCCCGGATAACCCTATTGTTCGAGCAATAGGCTAGCGGTAGGCAAGTGACAGCTCCGCCTCTCAAGCCTCAAGTGAGTGACAAGTCTTGGGCAGCAAGCTAGCAAAAATGCTACTTTTCTTCCCAATCAGTGATTTTGATCCCTTCGATACTACTTCATCCCAAACTTCAATACCCACTAGAATTTGAGTAAAACTACAACACCTATAATAATAAGTAATGGTTCTTCCATTTGAAAATGCAGTTAACTTTTACTCACGATTGGATCATATGTGCATTATTCGTCTACAAACTTTCCATAGGTGACATAAATCGATTTCAAAACTAGAAAAAAAAATGTTATCAACACGTTTTTCTTAATGAAAAAGAACCTACGGACTACATCCGTTTGTATACATGTAGAAACGTTCACCACAGGACTCAAAAACAAATTCCGTTTGTGAATTGTTAAAAGTATTCACCCTACTGAATTTTCGTTAATCAAAGTGCTTGTCAATCACCTTGGATACATTTGTAGGCAAAAATAAAGGTTTGAAAAATAAGTTATCATTCACCTATGGATTAAAGTAATTCAACATGTGACATGAAAGGTTTAAAGTAGGAAACAATGTTTCTTTTGTAATCAATATTAACTAATAACTAATGATTAATACTAATCACACAGCAAAATCGATTAAAAGAAAAAGTTGAGTAAGTACCTATAAAAAGGAGCCATTTTCCTTCTGCCTTCTGTTTGAGCATAGAATCAGCAAGTCTAGGAGGAGAAAATTCTCTGACTAGATGAGAGGAATGTTGTTGATCAAAATTTTTACCAATCTACTATGTAAGCAAAGCTCTACAAGATGTTGAGACTAGGTACCCAAGTATGGTTAAATTAGCCTTCACCTTAGTAAAAGCCTCTTGAAAGCTTCTTCCTTGTTTCCTAAGCTATATTATTGAGGTACAGAATAATTTTTCACTCAAGCAAGCATTACAAAAGCTCGATGAGTTAGAATGTTGATGGAATGGGAAATGGAAACAGGATATTTTGGAATAAAGTATAAAGGGCAATCCGAAATTAAAGCGCAAGCATTGCCAAGCTTTCGAAGTCCAATTTCCTGAAAATGAATCCAAACAGGAAGAAATATGGAAGTTGTTTCTTGATGGATCATCACGGGAAAGCAGTACTAGGGCTAAGATAATATTAACAAGTTTGAAAGGACATAAGTTCAATTGTGTGCTTAGGTTTGCATTCAAAGCAAGAAACTATGTAGCCGAATATAAGGCCTTGTAGTCAAGATTTCAATTGGCTAAGAAAATGTAGGACTAGAAGATCAAAGTAAAAAGTGACTCACGGCTAATAGTAAATATAGTCAATGGGAAGTTTTCTATCAAAGATAAAATAATGGCTACACATTGATCGAGGTCATGAGTTTGACACAACACTTCAACAAGAGAGAAGAAAGTGGATAAGCTAATGCGTTATCTAAATTAGCAAGTACAAAGGATGAAAAACTATTTAAAATCGTACGAGTAGAACTTTTATCAAATTCACCAGTCAGTTAGAAAAAGGAAGACCCGCGGGTTCAGGAGAGACCTCTTGGATACGAGAAATAACATCCTATATGAGGGATGCATCCTCCTTGAGAATAAAAGAGAAGCAAGAAAAATATTTATAAAGGCAGTCAGGTACATTTTACAAGATGGAGTCCTAGTCAAGCAACGGTACACAATCCCTTTACTTAGATGCATGAGCAACGGTGAAGCATTGTATTTGATGTGGAAATTCATGAAGGTATATATGGGAATCAAGCCAGCAGGCGTTCTTTGGCGTAGAAGGCATTGAAGCAGGTTTACTATTGGCGAACTATGAGGAAAGAGGCCTTAGATTTTGCTAAAAATGTGAAGAAAAAAAAATGTTGGAGATTCGCAAGTATACCTCGTCAACCATCACAAAGTTGATTACCATAAATAGCCCTTGACCTTATGTAAAGTAGGGTATTGATTCTATGGAATCCTTGCCCAAAGATAGGTTTAACCTAAGATCATGCAATAGATTACTTTACCAAGTAGGTCAAAGCGAAACCTTTTAATAAAATTACAAAGGCTAATACCGGTAAAGTTCATTTGGGAAAACATTATCCATCAATTCAGAACCCTAAACTCTATTGTCTTAGTTATGGTAACAATTCCAAAGTTAAAAGCAAAAAGACATGAGTAAGAGCTCGGAATCCATAGACATTTTCCATTCTATGTTACCCCCAAGTTAACGGACAAGTGGAAATAGTAAACAGAACCTTAAAAAGTAGTTTGAAAAGAAAATTTAATTCTGCGAAGAGATTATGAACCGATAAGTTGCTACAAAATTTTTGGTCATACAATACAACTACAAGGATTGCCACTTGAGAGAATCCCTTCTGTTTAGCTTATGGAGTCGAGGCTATAATAATGATGGAAACAGGCTTAAGTTCGACAAGCTAGACTTCATTGAGGAACAAAATGAGGAAGCCATGAATGCAAACCTAGATTTCCTAGAGGAAAGACAAGACTCCTCTCAAATGAAGCTCATGATACATCAAAGGAAAATGGAAAGGCATTTCCATTTCAAAGTTCATAGGAAAACCCTAGAGGTTGAGAAACTAATTTTTAAGAGTTCGCATTACCTATCTTTTTTTGACTTCTAAGTTTGCTTACTAACGAGCCACCCGAAGATGAATAGTGATAGACTGAAATCGAGGTTGGCGAAATGAAACGCATTGTCGACCGCCCACGGTGCAGCAGTCTACCGGAACTAACACCTCCTCACGCTTAGTAATGCCTCCTAACTGGTTAGCTTCTTTTGCCTATTTCTCCAGGAAGAAATGACAAACAATGACAGTAGCACTGTTCATATAATTTTTTAAGATAGATCTTAACCGTTGAATCTCAATAAATCCAATCATAATCGTCCAAAAGTAGTTAAGTTTAAACTTTGGGGACTATTTATTTATTGATTGTCAAATCTTATGTTTTGCGAAAAGTCGGTTCACCAAGCAAAGAATTTGAGGAAAAGTTTCAGGCTCGCCTAGCATAAATGATTAGATTTGGACTCCGATGACCATTTGTTATCAATAAAAAATCATAAAGAAGTAGAAGCGATCATATGTACCTGTTAACAAAGATTTTAAAGAACCAAAAAAGAGAAAGAGAACTCAAAACAGGACTAGTTACCATTACTAACATTAAGTGAACATAAACGACGAGCCAACATACTTTCATCAGCTGAAACCGTTATCAAAGCACATATAAATAACATGACTTCAAAACCAATGAATGAGAAACACATATACTAATGAATCAAACATGACAACCTAACAAATTCAATTAGAAATGAACTAATCGAAAGCTGTCATATGTCCTTAATAGAAAGGGGATCAATTGCCCCCATGACCTCATTAGAAATCTATAAATAGAGATACTTAGGACAAGTAAAGGTATCCAAATCTAAATAATCTCCTATCCAATAGTCATTTCTCTTACTCCTGCTTGAGCATGGAATCAGTGAGTTTAGGAGGAGAAAATTCTGATTAGATGAAAAGAATTTATTGTCACAATTTCAAGGTCAACAAAGTCAATTGTTAAAGGGAATTTTACCCAGTGTGTTCATAACGCCCACTGGCCAAAAATCCATTTACAGCATTGAAGAAAAATAATCATTAGAAATTTCACCACAGTAACAATCACAAGGCTCTTCATAACTTCGACCTTCCTACAAAAGAACAGAAACTTTTCAGACTAATTTAGTGGACAAATGAGGCAAAATGTCCTGTCATTGAGCTCCGGTAGAGAAACTGTATATGTTCTACAGTCCAGAACCAAAATATGTAGATGAGATTATCTCGGTGAATTTCAAGTCCTAAATAATAGCTGTAACATCTTCAGTATATATCACATTCATAATTCGAGTTCTGAAAGTTCAGTATGGTGTCCACCTGAGATAGGCAATTTTTCTTTCTCACCGTTTGGCTTGACGTCTGCAGTTGTCAAAAAATCGGTAATTCCAATCACTAAAAACTATTGCTCCACCTACAGAACCCCCAAAATGTTCTATCTGCAGTCTATTCATTCAACTATCTTACTTTTTGCAATAATGGATAGATCTCATGAATATGAATTTCCCTCCAATAATCTCATCCTTGAAGCATTTCATTTGCCACTCACACTTTCCTCAATCTCAGGTTCAGGAACACTCTGGCTCTCCGATTCGGGTTCCTGACGATTATCAAGATCCTTGTGGGCATCAGATGGTTCACGAGTAGAACTGGGGTTTAAAACCACCATCACTGGATGACTGTTAACCACCTCAGTCTTCCTTGGGGTTGATGACTCATCCTCAATGTCTTCCTCCGAAGCCACATATGATATGCCAAACCGTTGCTCATGAGTTAGTCCTGGACAGAACCCCTGTCATACATAGAGAGGATGATTTATAGCAAAAACATTTGCAATAAATTATCTAGCTTAAAAGCCAACTTCTTTCTTTTTCATATGTTTATGATACACCTCTAGTAACATTCTTTTTTCATGCCATAAAGATGGACTGTAATAACACAAAAGAGTTTTTACTCTAATAAAAGATAGTAATTGTATGAAAAGATAACATACAAGATCTCCATCACACGTTCCCAAAAAAAAAAAAAGGCCTCAGATTCTTTATCAAATTTTCCTATAAGAATGTCGGGTCCAGATACAAAATCTAAACTACAGCGAAACTTAAGAGTTTGCTATCAACATTTTTTCTTATTCGTGTTTTTCACTCTTCAATTTTTTCCAAGGACTGTTCGAGAGCCTACTATTTTAAAATAATATTCTTGTTTTACAAGGTTCACATAATAAAGAACTATCTTTTGGACATGCATATTAATTAAAACCTAATTGGGAATGTTATAAAGCTTTTTTTATATTCCTTATACATTACTTGTTAAGCACTTATCTTATTTTCAGATAGAAATGGAAAAACAAGCGGAAGATAGATGAGAGAAAAAATTGGGCTGTCCACCATTGGTTGTAGTCTTCTTGATAAAAATTGGTTAAGAACAGAAAAACGAAAGATTAAAAATTATAATAGAAGGAAGAACAACAGACAATTGTATCTAAGATATTCATTTAAAGCAACGTACCTATAATGAAATGCATCATACAAGAACTTACAAAAATTTTCAAGAGGAATGCTTTCTGATAAAATTAGAGAAGGTTCTGTCATGATACTCAAAAGAATAGATACTGTATATGTTTATTGACACTAAACCACGTAAATTATAGACTTAATTGTATCAGAGGTGCCAAACATATCAAAATAAAAAAGGAAACGTAAGATCAATAAAAAAAATACGAATCTGACCTTAATCACTCCTGAGATAGGTGACTTTTTCAATCTAGAGTGTGATAAAAAGTTGGAAGCATCAGGCTCCGTGTATGATTGACTTTGATTAGTTTCCCTGGCGTCCTTAGAAATGTCTGACACAAATGTTTCTGGTCTCAGATTACTGCTTCTGCAGTATGCTCCAAAATATGAACAATGCTCCCGTACTAAAGATATTTGTGGTGTAGCAGGCAGTAAGTGGCCTTCTGTACTGAAGATATACCTGCAAATGAATTTTTTTTTCCACGTGGCTGTGAGCATATGAGTGAGGGAGAGAGAGACAGAGAGAGAGAGAGCAACTAATCAAGCGGAGGGAAATGAAATAAGACTATATGCATTTTTTTAGTACCAGGAGCTGGAAACAAAAAATAGGAACGCACTACTTCCTGTAACTCACTTGTATGGACCATTCTCAACAAGGTTATCTGGTCCAGCAGCTAAATCAAACAGTAGCCACAAATATTTAACCTGAATGAAATAGGCACAGTATGAGGGAGAAAAGAAAAATCAAATTCAATTCATCAAATAAATATTAGAGAAGGGAAAAATCTGGTTGTCTTTTGGGATTGTTGATGCATCCATATACCTCCTCGAGGAGCCAATGTCAATTACCGTATATTCATCTCAAATCACAGGCTACTAGCTGCTTTTTTCATATAATTTAAGCTTATGCTTGCTTTTTGTTACCCTCATTTTAAATCCTTTCAAAAGCCTCTACCCCCTTTCTACTGTTCTCAAATTAAAATAAACTCATTTCATGAATGTTCTCAAAGTATGTTGATCGAAACTAACACACAGTGGGCTACACTCCTTTTATACTAAAAGGGGGGAAAGAGAGCCCTAAAAGTACTCTTTTATGTAATGTACGAAGAAAAGATGGAAAGATCGCAGGGGAAAAAGCTCATCTCCTTGCTGAAATTGTGTAATGTAAAATTAGGACATTTATAGGGGAGAAGAAACTATTAATAGACTTGGAAATCAGATATTAACCCTACCATCTCTTCCCAAATGATGTTAATGCTCAAAGATATTATAGCCACCATTTTCTATACGGAATTGGAGCTTACATGATAGTTGAAAGCTTAACTAATATTTGCTAAACAATACAAAGATCCAAGGATAACTGAACTGTGCACTGTCAGTCAAAGAAAAATTATTCCCACCCGAAGTTATTAACCTGTAGAAATTGGAGTTTGAGCTCCTTGGGATGTATAGTGTAGAGATTTTAGCACGAACACTTGATTGTGAGATCACAAAATTTGAACTTTAGACTAATAATACAGGTCTTACAGTCTCCGCCAAGAAAAAGCTTTCCATGTGATCTTCCTGCTGGTGAAACTCTACATCCGATATATGGCAGTACCCACAGGTACATCGAGCCCCATACTGCAAGCTAGCTAGCATATCCCGTCCGGCATCTAGATATCTACATGTATAGTTTTGATATATCTCAGTTTGAATGAACACTAAAGAATTAATAATAAAAAGATACCCATGCATTTGCTCCAATATGGTTTGTTATGTATATTGACTGGAAAAAGGACAGAAACCAGAATATGACAAAACCAACCTAAACATTGGTATGCTAGTAATTATCTGAGACTTATTATGGTAAAAGATTGACACAGTCAAAATCCACAAGCTATCTATTTAAAGAAATAGGGGACCAAAACAAAAAAAGGCATAATGAAGGAACAAGCAAACTTTTAGCAAAATAATATCAGAAACCAGCAGGAAGCTTAGTTGTTAAAGAAAGAGAATATCTTTTACCGAGGAAAAATTATTCTGAACAATCATTATATTCCTTATTTAAAGGGGTAACAACACAAGTATAAGCAGTTGTTTGAACAGAGAAGTAAACAGACATGGCTTTCTACACTTTAAGATAGAACATCATTTTAGGAAAACAGAATTTTTCCAGTTGGTTTGGCCTTTGTGATAATGCTTCAATTCAAGCATGTAACAAGGTTCCCCTGATTCATGTGCAATATGGTAATGTAGAAGCGAATTATTCATTACAATAAAAGTCAACCTGGGATTGCGGGTAGCTTTGTACAGCCAATATGTGCTCTCTATCAATTCTGGACGCAGTGGATAGCTTTTCTGGCCTTGCTGCACAAAATATCTAAAGTTAAAAAGAACCATTGGTAAGATAGTGATGTCACTGAGGAAACTGAATTTACAAGTACTAAGGAAAGCATCTAATAAAACAAGATATGCATAGGCATAGCCGCAGCCCCGGGGGGTTATTTAACAATGTATTTGTTCTTTATCAGCTCCTACTAACTTATAAAAGCTAAAGCTAACACATCCACCATAGTGGACAAACAAATCATGCAACTGTTTAAAGCCCTATTAGCTATTCTTTGATATGTAACCGTTTTCAATTATTCACTTGTTAATCACAAATCATTTCAATCTCCTTGGCCAAACCAAATTTGTTGCTTTATTGCATGTCAATCCATATTTAGCAGCTTAAATATTAATTAAAGTGCAGTAACTAAATCAATGGATCACCAATTCAACTAGCCATATAGATGAATCCAGAAATAAATTTAAAAATTAACATAAATTGAAAATCATGCTAATCTGACAAAACATATGCCTGAATACAAACACGCTGCCCTAGTAGGAGTGTCCATGCATCATAGTTAATCCTTCTTTTTTCTTTCCAAATTTTTTATAGGGTGGGGAATAAGTAGAGAATAAGAGGAGGAAGCCCATGTTTCCTAGAACATAAGGTATTAGAATATGCATTTTGGAAATATATTTTTCCATTGAGAAGTGATAAGATGCTTAATTTAGCAGGCTGGTATTAGAAAGTCTCCCATTAATAGTACTTCATTTAAACCCTGCATGCTCAAAAATTTTCCAATAAAAATAAAATTAAACAATTAGTCCACCATCAGTCCAATTTCAGTTAGCCAGCCCAAACCAATTGCAAAATAATAGGTTTTTGTTTCAATTTTTTTAAGCCCAACTCAAATATATTTTGCACTTGATCTATTCACCCAAGACCCGTACATCTTTATTTTGGAACCGTAAAATCTTGTCCATGGCCATACCGGAGCCAGAGATCACTCCACAACCAAAAACTGGAGTTGATGAACTAACTTTTGTAATTTTTTCAAATAAATTATTGCTGTGGTTTGGTAATGTTTCTTCTTCTAGCCATATAGTGGAAAAGATATACATGTGCAAAAAAAACTAAAATATCAACTTGCTAGTGTTTGGTGAAATGCACCAGTGAAGATTAAAACTGAGTTTTATAATTTTTAGTGTTCAAACATGCTCAAAGGGCTAAAAAGTACTTGTTGATTATGATGCAATGAATGTTGATAGTTGAAAGACAGTGCACATGGAGGGCGAAGATGACACAATGAAGGAGCTGATGGTGGAAATGTGAGCCAGAAACACTAGTCAAGATATGAGGTGCAAAGTTGGGACGTAACATTTCCAAAATGTGTGTGATTTAAAGGGCTAGGAGACATCTGAAATTTAATCTTAAAATTTTGTCCTTCAACAGTAAAAAAGGTAAGTAAACTAATCTGAAAATAAAGTCATGCTACATATGAATAATATGTTACGTTTGTTATAAACTAGAGAGAAAAGATAATAGACATTGAATATATTTTATAGGGAGCCAAAAGCCTATATTTATAGGGGTGAATTAGTGATTTAAGAAATACAATAGTTATAATAACTAGGAGTGTAGGGATACAATAGTAATTCACTAATTAATGTAAATTTTACAAGAAGTTCATAATTTTCCATTAACAAAGGGTAAGTAACCAATCATAAAAGTATGTTAAGGAATCATTCGGTTTTGCAAATTTAAAGTAATATCCCAAATCTAGGAAATCAAGACTTTGAAGTGTTAAAATCTTATTGACAAAGAATTATCAGACTAAATTTTTAAGCATTGGACAATTTGACGGTATGCTTGCGATTTTCTCTTGTTCTAATTTGTAACAAGTCATTGTTGCTCTCATAAGCTTGCTTGCTCCAATTTCACATTCAATTTGGCGCAGGCACGAGCAATGCACGAGAGCACCTTGATTTGCATTTTATATTGGAGTATGGGTTAATTTAGGATTCATTGTTGAATTTTGAGGTAAGTAGTTGGATTTTTTTATATATGAATTTTTATTCATACATTAACTTTTTAAAAACTTTATCATCCAGCAACGCAAATTATGTGGGTTTAATGATACATTTAATGACCAGCTAATTCTGCCAATGCAACAAATTGACTGATATCATATGTATGAATAACAGAAACACGTGTTCTTGTATGCGTAAACTCAATAGATTGAAATTTCAGATATGAATTTAGTAACCAACCTGCACACTGAGAGTAGCTAGATTGAAACCCTCTGGAGTGAAACCATACCGTTTCCACACACTAAAAAAGGCAGTATGTGTTCTAATTGCAGGATCAATATCCCCAGCTAGAACCTTCCATAATCATCATGAGCATTTATATTTAAGTTAGTCAATATATAATTCTACAACTTTATCATTACACATGCCTAAAACGACAGAGAATATTAATTATAATCACCTGGAGGCCAGGCCAGAATGCCTGAAGGCTATTGAATAATGGCCAAACAAGGGCAGCAGAGTTCATGTTTACCTCAACATACCTAAAGGTGAACAACAGCATCATCTGAATATTATATATGTGAATAAGATGTGAAAAATGAAGGAAGAATAATAGTGGAATGAGCCTGAAGTTCACAAGATTGTAACAACCAGAAAATGTATTCACTCACCAAGGATCATTATAAAGATAGTGCATTGCAGCCCTGTAAGCTTCTTGAAACATAAACAGATACTCTTCATCGCCAAATAATAAATAAGCCTGTGCAAACAAGTTCATGGAAACAAGCATTAGACAGTCATCATTAAAAATGATTATCTTTGTCACATAGCTAAAACCTGAAACAACGTTCAGGTTATGGAATTGACCTGGAAGATTAATTTGACCAATGTTACGAAAACCGACCCGAGCATCAACCCGGAAGAAGTGAAGGGTGAAGGGTCAAAAGGTTCAACCGGGATCTAACCGAATGCAATAAATAAATAAATAAATACACAGAAACAATAAAATACTATGAAATCAAATAATATTTTTTAACTTACATATTAATAATTCATAATAAATCTATGTTTGTTAATGACATTCATTATCAAGTGTAATTCAAGTTAAATTTGAAAATTAAATAAATGAAAAGACGAAAGTGGATATTACAATTTAGTTAGTTGGGATTTTCAAAATCATATATTTGGCTTCGAAAATGGTTTTGATGGGCATTTTAACCTTTTTTTTGCTATACCACTATCCCACATTGGAAGTCCGAAAACTCTTGTCTTGAAAGAAGCGCAACTATAAGACCACTATCTCACATTGAAAGTTTATGAAATCATTTGAGAGAAGTGCATCTATAAAAAGAGCATTTCATTCAAAATTCACCTATGGGCCTTTGATAATTAGTGCATGAGGCCCATTATTAGAAAAAGTTCAATTTTTTTAAATAAAAATTAGTCCAACAGCCACCGGTTCACAAGTTCACCAGTTCACGGTTAAACCAATCGGTTCGACGGGTTGTGAGCGGTTTTTTTGCTAGTCAGTTATCCGGGCATGATTGGCCCAGTTTTGGATCTGGTTTCCAGTTCTACTAGTTGAACAGGCCATGCCGGTCTGGTTTTGATCACATTAATTTGAACTGCCACCAATAACATTAACACTAAAAAAGGACTGCAATATCAAAGTATGTGTTGGCACAACCTCATAAATGTTCATTCTCCATTTTGCCAATATAACAACAATTATTCATTCAATAATTTCTTATATTCACTGATGAAATGTCCACTAAAAATGGTTTGGAAAGACATACCAGTTGGATGAAGGGAAAAGGAAAGGAAAATGCAAGAATGTTATCGGTAACTTCCTCTATCTTCGATTAGAAGTAAAATCTAGCAAAACACTACACTAAAGCTTTCGTGTGTTCCTGCTCCAGCTTAGCAAATTACTTCATCAACCAAGCATTTCTACCAAAATTATTTAGTAACTGTTGCAGCAGCAGGAGGTTGCTTTGATTGTGCAGTTTGCTCCTCAGAAATTCAAAAAATAAACATCTTTGACAATAAAGCAATGGAAGTCGATGTTTGGCATTTAGCATTCTTTTTTTCTTACCTTCAATTTTCAACCAAACAAATATAGGATTTTTTATTTTTTATTTTTTTTTTCATTTCATTGTTCCCAATAATAAACTCCTTGTACTAAAAGCTCAATGGTTTTCTAAGTTTCAGGTACAAGTGACTGCCTTTACACGTTGCAGCAAACATAAAATCAATGCACAGAATTTTTCAATTCAACGTGACAGCTTACAGAAATTAAAACTACCATATTCCATCTGAAAAACTCACCTTCAGTAGATACTCATAGAAAGAGTCTATACTTGTTCCTATTCCCGCATCCTACAAATCGACAGAAATATGCAAGTTAATGCAACAGCATAGAGCATAACCTGAACCTAAAACATTCAGTTATGTCCAGCTTTAGTTTAACAACAATAACTTGGAAGTTTCTATGTCATAATCATTTGTCTCTTTCCAGCAAAGAAAAAAAGGTCCTTTGTTTCTTTCCCATACAACTGGAAGTTGCCAATCAAATCAGTATCAAATATGTAAACTAAACTGGATCAAATTAAACATAGTTATCCAGTGGCAGCGTTTCAATATCCTTTAAAAGTAGTAATTCAAATTAAATGTCAAAAAATTAAATTATCGCTAATGTAAAAGATAAAAAAACATTTGACTAAACAAAAGATAAGTAATATTTCTTATGCTAGTATTAATAATAATCAGAAACATGCCACAAAATACAACAAACAAGTCTCCTTTAAAATGGTTACCAGGTTGAGAAGTAACCTTTTGAGTCCATTCACCAGAAAAAACATCTATATGAGCACCAAGTAGGTTGATCTTTGAGCGTCGGGCCCATAATCCTTGAACTGCATTCTTTGTGACTTGCTCAAAAACTGCATTTTGATGAAGGAAAATTTGGAAAAACTGATAATCAGTACAACAAATTCTGAACTCGCCACCTCCTCAAAGTTACTTACAGAAACACAACAAGATTTGTTACACAATGCTGCAACACTTTTCCTGAAGTAGATTTGATTTTTTTCTAAAGATATAACATAATCCAGAATCTTTACTTTTATCAATTTTAGATGATTAATATTTAGCTTTTTCCTTACTGAACCTAAAATTTAGATCCTTGAAGAGAACCAGTTAAATTCAAAGCAATATGTTATAAAACCTCCAACTGCATACTTACATAAAAGATGACATTAAGGTTCTAATCAAGTGCCTCTTAAAGATAACCCACAAAGCACCATGAGACCATTAACATGTCTACTGAAAAATCTACTAAAAAAAATCCAATTTTAATCCATGCCAAACGGGGGCATAGACTCTTTAGGAAATTGAGAATAAGAAAATAATGGCGCGTATAAAGGTGAGACAACTATGCCCCCGTTTGTTTTCCATCTTTTCTCATTAAAATGAAAAATATGACTATCTATCACATCAAGCAACCAAATTTGAATTTCTATCTCTTGTATAGAGCCCGAACGGCTATATTTTTCATTCTCATTCTTATGAAAATGGGAAACAAACGGGGCCTATATGCTCTGGAGGATAATACAATCTCGATTGGCACGACTAAGATGCTGTAGTACTTACCTGGATCATTTGTCAAGCGGCTAAGCACTCCAAATTCCAATGTTAGGGTCCCACCACCAGCAGTTGATGTTATCTAAGCACATAATATCTTCAAATCAGTAACATTAGCAACAAATGAGTGAGATGGACAAGGAGAGAGATATAATTCTTGGTATAGAATGAATCCAACTGCCCATTAAATCATTTTTAAATAAATAGTTTTATATGATAAATTAAACATAAATGATTACATATCACCATATGTTGCACACAAATGATTGCATATCACCATATGTCATATCTCGAAATTCATACGAATACAACTCACACCTCAGACCCAGGAAAATTCACACTCTGACCATGCTAATGATCATGTATAGGAGTGCAACAGCATTTTTTCACATAAACAGTCTAACATACCCATCTAAAACAACTTGTAATCAGACTGAGAAATCTTGAAAATTTTGGCTTAAATTTCTCACACAGCAAGCTGGCTGAAATCTCTCAGTAAGTATCCATCCATCATATGCGCAAACAAGCTTAAATATGTTGTCTTGCATATTACACAAAGCATGCATAAATTATCTTGTGAGTTATCTTTTCATTTCTTGTTTATATACATTCTAACTAGCCATGGAATGTAAGTTTCAGCATTCAGACTACACTTAGAGAAATTAGTAATTACTTACATACCAACAAGAACAGGCATAACACATGGCAAGTAATAACAGAACACAAAATACTGTTCCTTTTACCCATGGTATCTTCACACAATAAGATTTATTAGAGGAATTAATAGCTCTTTAAGGGAAAAGAGAATACAAAGAGGATTTGCCTTGCTTTCATTTTCATCGACACCATGTAATAGATTAACTGACCCAAATGGAATTCCTGCAACAAATATAATTTATAAATGTCAGATGGAATATTACAGAGACCTCAAGAAAATAGATGAAACCTCCAAATTTATTGCACTTTTTGGGGATAAATAGCACACCATTTGATGAGTTAGGGACATAATAATCTATTTAACAAGCCAAAATTACAAACATTGGACTCTTATCTCACGTTTGCTTGAATTGCATCCTGAATCGACTTCTACTTTGAAAAGAACAGTAAGATGTATCAAAGTTGCATTTTTGGAAGGTTAAACATTTTATTAGAAATTTCCAGTAACAAATACACAGTAGTTTTGTAGTAAGGTTAACTTCCACATGAAGATAAATGCGAACAACTTCTAGTAATATGTCCCCTGAATATAGTAAGCCAGTGATGATACCTGTCGGAGTATCAAATGCTGGTAACATTCTACGAGCTAAATCCTCTGCCAGACGAAGTAATTCATCATCATACGAGGGTATTCTCATGCCCTGCAGTTGTACAAGTTTTTTGGGAAAATAAAAATATAAAAAAATATAAAACCTATGAAGTTCCACAGCATATCAAAATTACTCAATTTAAGTGTTTGCACTCTTCAACAAATATTCCTTTTCAAGCAAGGATGCCAAGGATAAAATCCATTTGTCATAAGACCATAAATATTATATGCACAATTTGGATTATGCCAACAAATAATAAAATTTTGATTTGTGAATTGGACTTTGTTACTGTAATTCTACTAAACAAATTGAATTAACAATGGCACATATTTGCAATTGGAAAACAGTACAGAACCTAGATAATGCTTTGCATTGATTACAAACTAGCAAAGCAGATTAAAATGTTTGTTATGTTCTATAAATAGTTCACCGGAAGTTGAATCCCCATTGTGAACATTTCACATTACATTGGTCTAAATTTCAGATTGAGTAAAAATAAAATAAAATAAAACATTGGTTCTTATAAAACACAGTTTGCCTCCATGCCTACCACATTTCTAAGACTAGATGAAGCTTGGATTCAGACATATACCGCCGTCAGGCAATCATACCTGTACCCAAGTAAATGAGGTTGACTTGACAATACAAAGAGGAATTCTTTCTTGTGCAAGAGAAATAAAGACAAACAACCCAAGATCATCTAAGCAGAATGATACAATTTGGGCGTTAAATGGTCAAAATGTGTCCATTGGCATTACTGTGATATATAAATCACTAAAAGGTAGTCAGCAGACCCAAAAGGGTGGCAATAATGATTCATGTAGCCAAAGTCATTTGGTGGCAACGAAAATTTAGTTTGTCATATGTTTGTAGGACGAATAGAAGTTCCACCTTCCATGAGCAAATAAAAATTCTGAGGATGCAATTATGTTAACCATCTTGCAGCAGTCAAAACAGAAAATCTTAGGGTGACTCCACATATACAGATTTTTCATGTTTTCAAGAATCCGTGCAGCAAACTCATGTTACTGCAGTGGAGAAAGCAACTTAAGAGGGAAACAAGAAAAAAGAACATGTAATCATAATAATGAAGATTCATATGTGTGACATAATACCGTGTTATAATCACTGGCCATGAGATGAGCAGAAAGCAAACCTCCAAGGATTCTTATCGTAGTTTCAAAGACAGATACTGTCTTATTCTGCAAAAGAGAGGCAAAGAACTCCAAAATTTAGACTGAAACTTGACTTTCAAAAAACAAATATGGCGATCTAATCTTTGAATACGCTCCTCCACACAATCAACTTTCAAGCTAGCAAAAGAATACAAGGGACGATGAACACATTGACAACCATGAGTGTCAGACATTTAACATGGCAATGAATATGCTAGTAATTTGGCATCCATAACACAAATGGAAACAACTTCTTCAATGCAACTCCTTTAGTTGGCAACATTTGCACCGAATGAATTCTGACTATCTCCTTTATAAAAGGACTAGCAAATATGATGAGGACATCATCTATTTTATTTATTTCTATTTATTTTTAGTTGGACTTTATTTAAGTTTTGGATTCTTATTTATGTAATTGGGCTTGTATCATCTCAAGCCCGTTCTAGTTAGGGTTTTTTCTTTACTATTTTAACCTAATTTCCTACGTAACTTCATTAGTTTTGGATGAATATGAATTATTGAGATTGGTTGTGGCATCTCCTTCCTCTCCTTTTCCTGAATTTCTGCTTCTTCTCCAGTTTCTTCCCCCCTTCTCTCTGGTTCTCCCTCCCTTTCTTGGCATTCTCTTCTCTATACTGCATCAAATTTGGTATCAAAACCGAATCTTGGGTACTTTCTCTCCTACAATCCAAAATCTCTTCCTATCTCCTTCACAAAATTTGTTGGAACAGCACAATTTAAAACGATTTAGCATAAGAGCAGCAGTTTTCATTCTTTCAATTTTCTTTATTGGTTGGAAAAAAATACTATTCACTGGTACTGTTCAAATTTCAATTTTTTTAGATTTTTCTGTAGTTTAAAAAAAACAAAAATTGTTCACGGGTAATGTTCACACCCGAGAAAAAAATCAGTTTTAGTATTTTTTTTTTTTCAATTACTATAGAGGAAAAAAAAGAAGAAGAAGAAGAAGAAAGAAAATCTTAACTGTCGTCTCATTTACTCTGCTGCCCATCCTAAGTTAATTGTTGCTATTACCTCTTCCTTACCCTAGTCTCAATGCACAGCAACCCAACACAAATATAAACCACAACCTAAAATAACCCTAGCCCACACTTATCACCCATTATGCAGACAATCCACTCACTTCCAAGCCCAATAAACACCCAACCCAGCCCACTTATCCCATATTATCTCAGCCCATTACACATAATAAACCTAATCTGCCTAATCCAGTAGCCAATCTATCTTAAACCACTTAACACATAGAAGAAACCCAATCCTCTAACCCATCTTTCACAGTCCATCTTTCACAACCCAAGTCCAATTCGTACCCATCTCTCTTCATCACTTCCAGTATCACCCGATTCCTATCCCAACACCACTCATCTCCAGCCGCTACCGCCTCTAGTCGACCACCAAATCGCGGTGACCGCAAATCGCGACTACACAAACCACCCCACCTAAATAATCGCCATCAACATCAGCAACTACAGATTAAAAACACTGCCATCTTTACATAACCACCACAACCCAAAGTCTAAACCTATCCTCTGCAACTACCAACAACAATAAGCAGTCGGTCTCTTCACACATCTCACCGCAGCAGAGAGACAGTCACCACAAAAATAAATATCTTACTACTTTACCAGATGCAATTGGAGTAAGTTCAAAAGCTGAAGGCATTGGGCACGAAGCATAGTACACAAGCCCGCTTGAACTCCACATGATAGCTACCCCGTCCAACCAGACAGTAGGGAGTTCTTGACCTTTTTCTTTATTGGTTTATACTACTGCTTCATTCTTAAATTGCATCAATTGAAATCTTTTTGTTGCTGTTATTTTGATATTTTAGCCTTAACCTATTTGACTGGAATAACAGAACAAATTGACCCCATTGTTCCCGATTACCCCACGTTATTAGACCTGTCATTTGTACTTTTGCTTTTTATTTTATTTGCATCAGCATTATTAACTTGCCACATTTGGACTTACGTAATCCCATTTTTAAGTTAATTAAAGGGAAAAAAGAAAAAAAAGAAAAAGAGAGATTTAAAAAAAAAATGCTCAAGATGTTATTTTCCATTGCTTACACTTATTGTTTATTGATCTCATCATTGCACATCATTTAGGTGATAATATAGTGCATGCATGGCGGTCCACTGGTCGTCTTATCACTTCTAGTTTCAGTACCCAAACTTGGACCCTTCACAATTTGATGCACTTGACAAATAGCAGCAATCCAAACCCAAATAACTACTACTCTTAAACAGAGTAAGACCCTCTCTGTTAGTCTGAACAACTTTAAGCAAATGCCTCATTCGATTGATGTTAATAATCCTGAAGTGTCTCACAATAGACGATATCGTCATCGACAAGGTAACCAAAATTATTTTCAACACGATCGTAGGCATAGAGATCAAGTTCGTGAGCGAGAACGAGGCCATGGTCGTCATATTACTCATTCTCTTCCTCGTCATAAAGAGCATTTCTTTAGAAACATTAAATTAGACACTCCTACGTTCGATGGTTGCTTAAACCATGAAATTTTTACTCAATGGAACACCCTTACACAAGGAAATCGGCTAGTAACTAAGTACATTGCTCAATTTGAGGAATTTCAAATAAAATGTCATATCGTTGAGGATGAGGCTCTGACCTTGAGTAGGTTTATACAAGGTCTAAGAGATGAACTTAGGCGTGAGCTTTTCTTTCGAGGTGTCAATACTCTTGATCACGCTTATTCTTTAGCCCGAGACTATGAGTTGATTATTAATACTCCATATGAAAGGCGTGATCACCATCGTTCACCCATCTCATTAGTGCCACCTCATCATAAGTCTGTCATAAAGCTTTCTCCGTCTAGTCTTCCTCCCATTTGGAAAAATAAGTGTAAAGGTTATGATAGTCCAAGGCCTTCTTTTCCATATAGAAGGCGTATTGACAATCATTTTTCTGTTTCATTGGCTCCACTTCCCCCCGTTAAACCCTTTCTAGGACCTCCCCAGTCTAATGTTGCTCCAATCTTGGAAAATAAGGGTAAAATTTTTGAAATTTCAAAAACTTATTCTCACTTGCTGTGCATCAATTGTAAGGACTTAGGTCACATCTCTTCCAAATGTCCTAATCGAGCCTTAACCATGGAAGAACGAAAGAATGTAATAGAGGAGCCATCAAAAGATCTAGTCTATAAACCTAAACTTGAAGATTTTGATAACTTGGATGATAATGAGGACACCTCATTAGGTAGCATCCGGATTTTTCCTATGACCCTAGGTATTGTACCTTTTGTTCTCGATACCTCTCAGTCAAGTGTTGTGTATTGTACCTTTATCCAACCCAAAGATACTGATGATTTGCGTAATCCTGCTTGGAATTTGATCCTCCCAACTGTTCAGATTGCATATAACAGTTCTATAAATTGCTTTATAGGTCTAAGTCATTTTGAAGTTGTTCTTGATTATAAGTCTAGGAGACTGTTAGACCTTATTTCCATGTCCCCACATGATAGTGTGTCAATGTTAGCTGAAGCATTTGTACATTATCTCCATAACTTGCATATTGAGATCAATAAACAACATAATGCAAGTAATGCATTATATAAACTTCAAGCTGATTCGCATAACAATATTTTGAATTTAATATTGAGAATTATATTATATTGCAAGTTTGTAGTGCTGGTCCTTTAAAAATTTTAAAGCATGTTGATCCAAATATACATGTCATTACTCTTTCATCACATTTTGGCTACCACTCTACTTTAAATATTGAGGACTTCATTACTTACAAATATCGTTTTACTTCCTTTGATAATTCATTTCTACTTAACTTTGTGGACCCCCAACTTGACCATGTTGATATTTCTACTTCAAGACCATCTGTCACAGCACACAAAGTTAAAATTGATGTTATTTTAAATGAATGTGTTGTATTGACCAATGATGGCAAGATTCAGTACTTGTGCTTCTTATGCTCCTCATTATGTACAATCATGTGAACATTTTGAAGATGAGGTACATGAGCATTGGTTATTTAAATTGGTTAGAAGAAAAGACCGCCCCTTTGGCTAGATCATATTCTTGGGAATAAGTTACAGTTTTTAGTACTATCAATCATGAAATTTCGGTACTTGGTTCGTTAGAAAGATCGTCCCTCATGACTTGATTTGAAGCATTTGGAGTATCAAATTGAATGTAGCCTATAGTGATCCATCAACTCGACAGGGCCGAGTTTTTCTCTCACCCCGAGAGAGTTAATGAGAACATCATCTATTTTATTTATTTCTTGTTGGACTTTATTTTAGTTTTGGATTCTTATCCATGTAATTGAGCTTGTATCGGCCGAAGCCTGTTCTAGTTAGGGCTTTCTCCTTACTATTTAAACATAATTTTCTATGTAACTTCATTAGTTTTCGATAAATATCAATTATTGAGATTGATTGTGACATCTCCTTCCTCTCCTTTCGCCTGAATTTCTGCTTCTTCTCCGATTTCTTCCCCCCTTCTCTCTGGTTCTCCCTCCCTTGCTATTCTCTTCTCTATCCTACATCAAAAAAAGTCCTGCTAAGCAATAATTACCACCTATTAGGAGCTGGTTACATGGTCCATATTAATCTTAATACAAATGATGGATTTTCCTCTACCTTTTGTTGCTAAGTCTGAAAGTCAAGTTAAGTAATGATTCCTGGGGCTCAGACATGAACAATAAAAATCAAATAAGAACTTTCTATCTACCAAAAATTTATATATATGTGTGTGTGTGTGTGTGTGTGTGTGTGTAAGAGCGACGAATATATGGTAGTGCTTGTGAGCACCCTGAAATGTGATAAAAAGTAGCTTGAATGTTTATAAACAGTGTATCAACATGAGCAAAACGTAGGCTTAAGACTTCGAAAAAAAAAAATCTACTGAACTTCAATCATACAAAAAGTTAAGGGAGTGTTTTTCATATAAATTAATATTACCAGCTAAAACCTAACTCCCATTATAAAGCCCCACGTATTTAGATACAAGTGCACTGTTGCTTGCTCGAGTACCTCTTAAATATCATATTCTCAAAAAACTCATGAAAAAATCCAGGCCCCAATAAACTGAAGCTAACTACTGCAAAAAGCAAAAAAGCATAACAAAAACACAGGTGGAAGCATGAACTGCAAGTTTGTTTTCTTATAAGAAAAACACAAAATCCTTACTCACAATATCAAATCGAAGATTTTTACCAATCCATTCAACAGATGAAGAGAAGTGCTCTTGATCACCAAGCAAGGCCAGGGTGTCCAATGAATCGATCTGATCAAAGAAATATACAGTTACTTAAAAATTCATTACTATCCATAGACATAAAACAGGAAAATAGCATCCAGTCTTACCAATGTTAATGCATACCCTCCTAGCGTATCTTCTCCTATGCAGGATAAGGGCTTCAATTCATCGTGTGGAAAAGCATGCTTCATGTATCCCTCAAAAGCATGATAGAACATTTCACTTACCTAAATAATGTATAATTATTTTACAATCTTTCAACGGGTTCACATTTTACTCAAGTATCTTACAGACCTTCAATATAGATGACTGCTTATTTCATGAGCCCTAAACATAATTAATTAAACCTAGAAAAAAAATCACTAAAAGTTGAATTCCAATCAACTTTTCAGGGCATTATTTATCCACATTTCATTCACTTTTCTTTTCTCCTTCTCCAACTCTATGTACACCCTCAAGCAAAATCAAATAATTCACAAATATATGACTCTCCAGATCAACATAAGTGCACAATTTAAATTAAATTCCACTAATAAAAAAATCAAAACTTCCCATTAAAAATACATTCTCTTTTTTTTTTTCTTTTTTTTTTCGTTTTTGACACTTGTTTAAAAAGTACAACAAACACATGAACATACAAAGAACATGAATACACCTCAAAAAAAAAAAAAAATTAAAATTAAAAAAATTAAAAAATAAAAAATAAAATAAAAATAAAAAATAAAAAATTTACTATTAAGCAATTTTATTTGAATTGTACCCAACTGAGGCACAATTCAATAAAATGTTTCAGGAAAAAAAAAATCACAGATGTAATTTATTTAGAATAAAAGAATTGAGGTGACCTCATCTCTGAGCTGCTTGGCTTCATCTTTAGTGACGCCTTCTGACAAAATTTTACATATAAAAACGTGAGAAAATATCAGAAGAATTAGCAACGTCGGCTTTCTCGGAGCTCCCATAGATCTGTGTATGTGTTTGTGCGTGTTTTCTTCGATTATATACGTACAGTTCCATCTGTCACTCTGTCTCCTACTACTAAACTGAAATCGTGGGAGAATAATTTTGAAAGCGTGCTTCCTTTTTTGGCTCCTAGTTTATAATGGCAACATTTGCATTATTGGTCATCAACCTATTACTCAAGTATTGAGTTAGTCCTTAAAACCTCGATTATAGCTACTAGCAGTCTCCAGAAATAGTCAAGTTATCTATGTTTCTCCTTTCATGTCTGAATTGTCGCTAAGAAAATTGAATTGAAGCATTTTTTTTAATGAGGGCCACTTGATAATTTTTTAATGATCTCCATTATTGAAAACTCTTTGTATTACCATAATGATAGGTAGATAGAATTTCTTAATACTAAAATTATGAGGCTTCCTACATAAATACATTTTAATTTACAAGTTGGTGTGTGTGTGTACACAGTGCCGATCTACTAAGCACCGTGCTTAGTTGGCAGTTCATTGAATATGGAAATATTTATTGTAATATATTAATGAAATAAAAAAAACAATAAGTCAAAATAAAATGGAAACATGGATAAACATGGTAACCAAAAAGTGGAAGAATAATTTATTCTTCTCATCTCTTCACATTGAAGAATAAAAAACAATCTCGTCACTCCCCTTTTCACATCTTCTTCTCATCTCTTCACATTGTCCTCTCGTCTCCTCCCTCTCTTGCCGAAATTACTCTGAAATTTGGCTTCACAAAAAAAGTGCAAAATAATTTCTTGTTTGTTGCACGATAGTGGATTGCAATGGTCTTCATCTCATTTTCAATGGTAAGTTATTATTTTGATTTTGATTTTGGGTGTGTACATTAAAAATTGGTAAGACGTTCCCTTTTTCTCCCCACATAGTAGCTGTTACCATATTCTATATAAATATCAATTAGGGTGTGTTTGATTACATTTATTTTTCATGAAAAATATCATTTTTCCACCTAAATTCTTACTTGAAATGTTTGATTGCTATTTTTTTCCATGGAAAACATTTTCCAACTTTTGAAAATATGCCTAATTTTCCTTGTTTTTAAGGAAGATATTTTCCTTGGGTGGAGGTGGTTTTTATTTTCCTCAAAACAAGGAAAATATTTTCTTTTCTAGGTGATATTTTCCATGTCAATCAAACACACTCTTAGTGTATGAAAGAGAAAAACCTTCCCATGGGTTTTTACGAATTATTTTCAAGTGTAATTTATTGAAATTTGCTGAAAGTTGATAGAATTTATTGGACTAGTTTAAAATGTAGCCATTGCAGAACTTTGCGCATGATAGGAATTTGCTAGAATTTAAAATGCAGTTTAATATGTTTAGCTTATTGGACAGTTTGCATAGCTGATTGTAATGGATAGATAGTATGAATTAATAATAATGGTTTTCTAAAATTGTCAATCAAGATTTTCTTATATATCCACTTGTTTAAACATATGGACAGTTATTTAAATTGTCGTTACTTTATAGGTTAAACTTAATTTTTCATGAAGGATGAGACTTCAATTCAAACATTCACACCCCAAGTTGCGAAGGAGCGAAAGCCTAAAGTTGGGCAAAAGTTTGAAATTATTGAAGGTGCATATGAGTTCTATTATACATATGCAAGAGAAGTTGGATTTAGTGCTAGATTGTTTAATAGTATGAAGAGGCCGGGCACGAACGAAGTCTTTTGGAAACAATTTGTTTGCTATAAAGAAGGAGAGATAGATGATACATATCAAAAGAAGTTTAAACACATGGTTGAACGATCAAGCAAAAGACATAGAGGAGTCATTCGGGTGGGTTGCAAGGCTAAGTTAACTATAGTCAGCCCAAAATCATCTATAAATTGGATTGTTACTAACTTTGTGGAATCTCATAATCATGCACTCACAACTCCTACAAGAGTTCACTTATTAAGATCTCACCGACATGTTTCAAATGCAAAAAAAGGCATTAATACAACAATTCTCAGAAGTAAATGTATCGGCGAGTCAACAGATAAGTTTGAAGGAGATTGGATTCAGGGGTCCTCAAAAATATTGGTGTACATAGAGAGACATTAGAAATTATGAAAGAGGTTTGAGAGAAGAAATGAAGGGAATTTATGCTGAATCATTGATTGAACTATTTTCATTAGAGAAGGAAAAAAATCCATGCTTTTATTTTGATTATGATGGAGACAATGAAGGAAGATTGATTAGATTTTTTTGTCTGATTCTTGCTCGAGACGAGCATATAACTTTTTTGGTGGTGTTGTTATTTTTGATACTACGTATAACACAAATAGATATGGGATGATTTTTGCTCCGTAACTTTTTTGGTGATATTGTTATTTTTGGTACTACATATAACACAAATAGATATGGGATGATTTTTGCTCCATTGACTAGAGTCAATCATCATTGTCAAACTATAATATTTGGATGTGAGTTTTTAAGTGATGAGACAATAGAGTCATTTGTGTGGTTATTCAATGTTGGTTGACTGCAATGCCTAAGGGTGCACCTCAAATGATCATCACAGATCAGGATCTTGCATTGACAAGAGCAACTGTCGAAGTTCTTTCAAATACTTCTCATCGCTATTGTACATGGCATATAAAAAATTAGTTTTCTGAAAAATTGAATACAATAATATATCAGGACAACTACCAGTTGATAAAGAATATTATTTTAAATTCAGAGACCACTAAAGAGTTAGAAGACCATTGGTCGAATATGTTGCACTCTATTAAATTGATAGATAAAGATTGGCTTCATCAAACATATGAGTTGCGTGCTAGATGGGTCCCTACATTTGTTAAGCATATTTTCACAACTAGAATGTCGAGCAGCCAAAGAGCTGAAAGTTCTCATTCATTTCTCAAAAGGTAAATTTCAAAGAAAAAGTCATTGATGAATTTTACTATACTCTTTACTAGAGCACTTAGACATCAAAGACATCAAGAGTTGATGGCTAATCATTGTGATATAATGAAAAACCAAAGTTGAAATCCTTTTGGCCAATGGAGGCACAAATGTTGAAGGTTTATACATTCAAACTTTTCAAGATGAGATTTTTGAAAGTCAAGCTTACATTTTAAATACATTATGTGAAGATGAATCAAGTGTGACTTATTCTGAAAGGGTGATAAATCTTCTACATGAAGATCGTGAAAACTTCTTCACAATAAGTTTTAGATATTGTACATTGTAGTTGTCAACAGCTTGAATGTGAAGGAATTCCATGTAGACATATGTTGGCGTAGTTTAGGGTCAAACAAATATTGTAATTGCCAACTCAATATATTCTTCAAAAGTGCAAAGATTGGTCAAGTGTGGGACAAAGATAATGAGGAACTAAATGATATTCCAAACCAATCATTGATATTAAGACATTCTAAACTATCTCAATTGTCTTCTATTTTGGTTGATGATGCATCTCTGTCCGAGGAAGAAGCTAACCTCTTGGTAAATGTGTTGGAAGTGCTTCGTAGAAAAATAAAGGAGATTAACATCAACAATGGTATTGAATAGGTATCCATCGAACAAATAAGTATTGAAGAGCTTGTAAATATCAATGAACCACAACAAGAGCAAAGGTGTGTGGGAAAAGATTTAAAAAAAAAATAAAAGAGACAGCAGTGAGTAAAGAGAGAGTTTGTCATGGATGTGGACTTCATGGCCAAACACACGATAAGCGAAATTGTCCAAAATTACTCGAAAGGTATTTTCTATTTTGTCATGTGTTAAGGCAATTATTTTTCAAATCCTCTGGGTCCAAATGGCGAAGATCCCTACGATTTTATTTTACAAAATTCATGTAAGTCATTGTATCTTCATTTGTGATAACTTATCTAGGTGTTGTATTTGTGATAACATTCATGTAGGTGGATTGGTTTACCTTTTATTAATTACCATAAGCATCTTTGTTTTTTGGATGCAAGTTTATACCTGCAGTGTTGAGAAATTATAAATTCTGTTTTGGAGTGTAGCTCGAAGCATTGAGACTCCTAGATGAACAAGTTCTCATCAACAATCCATCTGAGAGTTACACGGTGTTTTGACCAATCTTTGTAGTCATTTCTCACATGAAGGATATGAGAAGTTTACAGCTTAAATTTATTCTATCTTATGCAGTTTAAGATTGGAGGTTCATTATGTAATTTTGCTTTTCTAAATGTGCGAAGTAGTGAATTGAGTCATTTCTGGTGGACATTTGGGCTCTAAATGTTCATTCAATTGTCCTAATTCACCATAATTTGAACCTCCATTGGCATTAGAATAACGTGTTATGATGCTAAATCAAATGGAATGATGACAGGCCATTTTCATTCTCTAACTAAACTCTGCATAATGATTTTATCTTATGGAACTTCCAATCACGTTCCCATTTGACATATGTCTAAAAATTATTGAAATTGAATATTTCAAAACTGATGCAGATAGCCACACCCATAGAAATTATACACCAGAAAACTCAATGGCAAAATAATGGAAAATGTCATGGATGCAGTAAAGTAACATAACAAAATACAATGATGAAAAAAAATTATACAAATTAACCAACTTAACTCAGAAGATTAATTTATCTTTTGATCATGAAATCCAAAATAAATAGGCTAAGAGTGTTAAAAATATGTTTTTGAAATAGAAATATAATATTATTTGTGAATAAATTAATTGCTCACTTGGTGTTTCCACTTTTAGGCCTTGCTCGAAAAATAAATAAAGTAGAAAAAAATTATAAACAAGAGAAAGTGTGAAAATGACTTACTTTAACTTCGAAGTCTTTGAATTTACAAAGATGTCTTTGAAATTACAGAAATTGTGGAGAGATTTTTGAGTACAAGTGTGATAGTGTGCTTTTTTGTTTTTCTCGGAGTGTGGTTCTTTGTGGGTAATATGAGTATTTATAGACGCCGATACATCAAGTTTATTATTTTAATACTATATCACTTTACAAGTGTGCGATCTATAATTAAAGATAAAGTAATAAATATTGTACAATTTTACAGGTGTGCGTTTTAAACAACTGTATGAAATTATTAAAAACTTTTTTCTTCATTTT